TCTAATGCCTTAGAGGCTAATCTTTTCATGGTATTTCTTTTCCTTGTATAGTCTATTATCAAGCCTCTGGCATATGCCTTCATTGCATCCCATACATTCTGGATTGATGTATCTTCTTTTTTGTTTTCTCTAAAGAAAAAAGCCAGTTCTTTCTCCATCCACCGTGTGAAGTCTTTTTCCTTTAAAATAGTATTATTTAACGTCCATCTAGATCTTCTTCTTTGTCCTTTCCATTTAATTGTCATTGGATTGTGATCTGCCCAAGTTCTTGTTTCAATATTTATTTCTTGAATATTAGTTAACAATTCTGTTGACATCCATATCATATCTATTCTGGACCAAGATAAATGTCTATTTGAGTAGAAGGTGTATTGTTTAGTTTTAGCATTTCTTTCTCTCCATGTATTTTTTAAGTTTATTTCATCTACCATTAAAAAAAAAGATTTAGGGAGAGTCTTTCTGTTTTGCTTTATTGTTTTCTGTGCTGTATAGTCCAGTTTATTGTCTACAATTCCATTAAAATCTCCCATCATAACTATATTAGCATAGTCCAGTTCAATTATTTTCATATGTAATTTTTTATAGAATTCTTCTTGTTTGTCATTCGGGGCATAGATTGCAATCAGGAGTGTTTTCGTATTATTGTCCATTATTTCCACCATTAGTATTCTTCCGTTGTCATCAGTATAAATCAATTTCGCTGGGATGGTCTCTTTAATATATAAAACCACTCTGCTTTTCTTGCATTGTGTCAGGGAAGTAAATATTTTCCCTAATTTTGGCTGTATTAACAGTTGTTCATATTGCTTTTTAATACTTCTTGTAGGCAGATTATATCAAATTTTAATTTCTCTAATTTATGGAAAGTTTTCCTTCTTTTAACAGCTGAATTAAGTCCATTTATATTAATTGTAATCAATTTTTTCTTTTCCATGGTTATATTTTGTAGTTAGGTTTGACAGCTGTCGTGGATCTTGGTTCACGTTGACCTTTGGCTTCCTCCTTTCCACCTACTGCACCTTCTTCTTTTTCAGTTGTCATTTGGCAGTCCTCTTGGAATTCAATTAGTCAAATTTCTTTTTCTGCCTCTTCCTCTTTCCCTCTGAAAAATTCTGTGTAAAATGATTCAGCTTTCTCAACTGAGTCAATTCTATATCTCTATTCTTGCCATGTGATCATTAAACCTTCTGGAATCAGCCATCTATAATTCACCTCTTTTTTAAGTGGTAATTTGGTCACGAATCAGTATTCTCTTCTCATCTCTCTCACTCTTCTGGGTACTTGTTTCAAGACCACAATCTCCTTGTCTTTGTATTTCAATGTTTTCTCTCTTGCCACTTGCAATATTTACATTTTAAGGTCTTTCTTTGTAAATCTGATGTGAAACTTCTCTTGGTAAGGTATTTCTCATTTCATGTCTTGTGAAGACTCTATAGACCTCATCTATTCCATCCATCATCTTCTCTTCAGTTATTTCCAAAGCTTCAGCCAATATTTCTATCATTACCTCAGCTAGATTTTGTCCTTTTTCTTCCTCTATGCTTTGGAATCTAGGATAAAATTCTGACCTGTCCATCTCCCATCTCAGCAAATCACTTTTATCTTGTTCAACCACAGTTAATGTCTCCAATCTTCTTGTCTCTTTGTTTATCTTCTTCAATTTTTTGGAGTCTCTTATCATACTTCATCATCAATTGTTGGATGTTCTCCACTTTTTCATTGGTTTTCCCTGTTCTTTGTTCGATGTTCTCTATTCTCTTTTCAATATTCTCTGATCTTGTTTGAATATTTTGAATTCCTTGCATAATCACCTGCAGGGTCACTTTTTCTTGTTCTTTTTCTTGCCTTTACATTGTCTGTATTGAATGTTGTCCTCCAGATGGTGGAGAGGAAGAAGTAGAAGTTGAGGAACCAGGAGCTGTTAATTTCCTATTCATTTCGAGCAATTCAAAATCTTCAGGTTCTTCTAGACCTTAATCCAATTGTGGAATAACCAATTGCAGTTCCAAATAAAAATAGTAGGAAAAAAGAAGCCAAATAGTAATAATAATTAAAAAAAGAAAAAAAATCTTCAGGTTCTTGTATACCTTAATCCAATCAATTGGTTAGATAACAGTAAAAGTTCAAAAATGAAGGAAAAGACCATAAACACACACACAAAAAGAAAAGTTGTAAAATCCTAAAAAAGGCGGAAAAGTGAAGAATAAAAAGCTAAAAAAAGAAAGGAAAAATTCTTCAGGTTCTTCAACACCTTAATCCAATTAAAAGGTCTCAAATATAAAAGGATGCAGAAGAAGAAGAAGAAGAAGAAGAAGAAGAAGAAGAAGAAGAAGAAGAAGAAGAAGAAGAAGAAGAAGAAGAAG